AGTCGCACAGCAAACAGACAGATTTTCCAACGCTCGCACAGACAGTATTTTCTGACAGGCGAAATGTTGGATAAGCTTTCATTCTACAACTCATCATTAAAGGCTGATGATGGTGAACTGAATAGAAATGAATTTCATTTCGTTATTGACATGATAGTAGAACTCAATTTGACGGTGCAGCACGATCATTAGGTTATTAAATTCCGGTCGAGACTATCTGTCCAGTCTTTCCTGTTTTCATTTGATGGTGCTGTTACCTCCTTAAATCGAACGATGAATGTGTGCTTGTTTGCAAAACTTTACTACGCAAACGCGTACAGTTTGTATAGCGGTGACATTGACGCAGCTGATACAGTTTTTCAAAGGATGGTCATGTTCAATGTTTTAACTCTTATGCGTTTGCTCATACTTGGACGAAACATTGATGCCGTTTATTCTTGTCTTTGAGTTCCGTCCACCACGCATTAAGCTAACGATCGAGTGAGGACAATGAGTTTAAAAGTGAGATGAGTAGGGATTGTTGCTAACGACGAAAGTTTCAGAATTTTTTGCATCTGTTGCAGCCCAGTGGCTTTTTGCATACAGTTACAAGGGTCATCATGTAAGGAAGAAGGCAGAGAGGACGTTTAAAGAAGTGGTGAATCAATGACCTGATAAACTACACCCATAAACAAATACGCCAGTTTTCACCCATATAGCGGAAAATCGTCTGGAATAAAAAAGATTTGCTTCATAGTAGCTGTGCTGGTCAACTCGCGGGCAATATGTCATGGTAGACGAAGATGATTTTAATGGCGATGATCGAAATATGATTAAAATAATTAATGGTCTTCGCTTCCTGATCCATGGTTCAAGACAGCAGTTAATACCGACGAATTGTCATGATTTATTTGTACCACGTGTTTCGACGCTGCACCCCAGCGTCTTCATGGAGATAATAATATGCAAATGAAAAATTTCAGTATTAGATCTTTCGGAAAAGCTGGCAGATGACGTTCCAGCTGTTTAGGCTAAATCTAAACGGTTTCATACATTCCTTGTGGTCAGATTTGGTTAACCCAGCCAGACGACTGTTTGATTAATGGTCCAATGATTCTTCCCTCTTTAATAATAAATGTTCATTTGTCAGATTTAATAAATCTGCCAAGTCGAAAGTATGGGAAACGATGCCAGAATGCTGTTTTCCCATTCCTCAAAGCTACCAGATGTTCCACAACCTTTTTATTCTAACTTTCCTCTGATTTCTCAGATGTAGATCTTGTCGCAGCCATTGCATTCCGTCTTAAGAACAATATTCATCATTCGTTCTTTTCGGATGAGGAGGTTTCCGGTGAATCGGTTGTCAAAATGATCCGCTAATTTTGTAGTCGATTCGAAAGCTTTCATTGTGCACGTGCTGTTTAATTTTTATAGAGTTTAAGAATGAAGCAGACGACTGCAGTAAAGTTATTTTTATTTTAGATTTTTGGACTTATTTTAACTGTAGGAATTGGTTACAATGAACGTATTATAATTTCTTCATTGTGGCCACTTTTATATAAGAAATTTTGTAGTTTGAGTTTTTGTTTCTGCTTAGTTAGCAGAATCAATGGTACCAACCGTAAAACACTCAAGTCTTGTACCGTTTGTAGTATTTTTAAGGATTAGTTAGGGGTAATCCCTTATGGTGTTGAGGTTTGGATAAGCTGCTTAATCAAACCGTCTTTCCTTTTTAACCAGCTCGTCCAACAATCTGATTTGGCTTTGATCTTCTTTCTACATGAATCCTTCTAAATTTGTCAACGCTTGTCAGAAAATTTTGGACATGCGCATGGTCAAGGAAAAGATTAACTTTAAACATTGCGAAAATGTAATCGTCAAACTTGAGGTAGACCAAGGGTTATAATGAAATCGGGAATTTTGGCGCCATTGATGTTTCAGAATGATCCACGTATGGATCAGCGATCGTCGCACTGATCAAAAACCCCATGGTAATCCCGGACTTGTGATGAAAAGTCAAAACTTGAAGGGAAAAAATGAATATAAGAACGGATTAAACATGTTCAACAAACTTTCCATGGCAGATCTGCTTGTGCTATTTTTTAACTGTTTCCAGAAAACTCTGGTAAGGCAGTATCAGACGGGTAATACGACAGGCCTCACAAATTTAAGATTTCTAATCATTTAAATAGATTCATTTTTTAAAGTTTAAATGCACAGTTTTTTTATTTTCAGCTTACGACGTGTTGTCCGATCCTGAAAAGAGGAGTAAATACGACCAGTTTGGTGCAGACGGCTCCGCATTTACTGGTCAAAGGGATTTCTCGTTCAACCTGAAAGATTTTTTCAAGAATTTTGATGCAAGTAAGCGAGGTGGATCTATTTTCTCAAGTTTTTTTCAGGTGAATATAAGATAGTTATAGTCATGGTATCGAAAGGCTGGTATGATTAGGCTTGAAGATTGAGTTTTTTGGTCATGCGTTGGTGATCATGCTGAAAACAGCCGAAAAACACGGTTCATATGTACATGTGACAACACATTTATATATTTGTGCAATAAATGGGAACAATCTGGTGATAAATATTCACAACGCAGTTCCGACGTTTCCGCTCGTATTTCACGATCCTTCTTCAGGGTGGCGAGGGTTGATTTTTGGAGTTCTTTATGTGATTCGCAGCTATTGTAACATTTAGCGCCTGAAAGCTTCTATCCCATATTTATCTTGGTTGTTCTCTGGGTCTTATGCCGGTCGGCAGGGCAAGAAATAGTTACCTCGCCTTCCTTTATGAAGGAATTCCAAACACGTGCCCAAACCATCTGTGACTTGACGGCTGTGACTTCTCAATCTGAATAAGTAGTGGCTATGCACCAAGTTATCTCGGATTTCTGTACTACGGACCATGTCGAGACACGTGAGGCTAGCGATGGACTCAGAAATTCATTTCAACGGATCTTATGCATGATCGAAGTTTTTCAATCATGACCCGCGACTCATGAAAGCAGATGAGATTGAGATGAGGATGAACTTGATTATCAAGACCTTAATCTTCAGACTAAACTCTGTTTTAGTCACAGCAGTTTAGGCTAGTTAAACTGCCGCTTAATCAGTTTAAAAGGACAGAACTTGTGACAGCACAAAGCTTATAATTGTAACTTGTTAAAACGTTGAAAAATTAGCTTAGAAGCAGACCCACCATACCTCACCTCGCTGAGCAATCTTTTACTTCGATCGTTGGTGCTTCCTTTAGCAAAATCGACAGAATGATTTTCTAGGGAGCAAACGGGATAACAGGCAGATAAGGACGTTCTTTGATCGATCATCGTCGACCTAAACTACTGAGTATTGCTTTCTTCATTTTCCGTGATCGCTTCTAGTTGCCAGGTCTGATTACACTGCAGAAAGACCACCGATGCAGCAAGTTAGCATACTCAGGGTAGTCAGAATGCATTGGCATCATCATAAAATGGGATTGGCTACACAGCCGCTTTAGAGATGCATG